CTGTAGGAAAATGATAAGGTACATTACTTTTTTGATATAGTGTAATACGCGTACATACATACACAAACAAAGACACACAAATATGCACACACCAACGCTCACCGCGCGTGCAATACACACACACAAACACACACACACACATTATTTGTTTTCCTCAAAAGTCGCAGCCTTAGAAATTGCCACCCAGTAACTAATAGTCACCATTCGGGTTCAATCCCAAGAGAAGAACATCTTCAGAAATCTGTTCATACAAACGTATAAAATATTTAGGGGCATCATGTGGTTACAAATTAATCAGCTGTCTGAGTGGATGAGAGGTGAAATAGCACTCACACACACACACACATACATGTAAATTATATATATATATAAATAAATAAATAAATATATATATATATATATATATATATATATATATATATATATATATATATATATATATATATATATACTCTAGATTTAATTGTCCGGCTTCACCCGGATGGATTAAAATAAGTGTTATTCTCCCGACCTCTACCTCATCTTGGTCTCCACCGCTGCCCTGTATGCAGGCCTAGTGGAAACAAAGGTCTAACTAAAACCCTATATTTAATATCCCATCTTGTACTTCATCTTTGTCTCCGCCGCTGTCGTATCTTTCGTCATTGCGCCAAACCCTCCACCCGAGGCATACCCTGTAATACTAACACCATTATTTAACAATTTAGGAAACAGACAAATGTATTATCTCAGATACACATAGATGTGTGGTTTCGAGGAAAATAACAGCGAAATATATTTTTTTTAATTACCCTTTTTTAAGGAAATAATAGGAGGAAAAAAAAATACTCAGATGAATAGAACTCCAGCGAAAGTTTCATTTTACTGGTTGTCGCAATAAATAAAGAAATGCATAATAATCTGGGCCGCCAAACATTGCAGTCATAATCGCAAACAAAAATTTAACCCGTGTATTGGTCACAGTTTGGGGGCAGTTAACACTTTATTTGTAAACAACGCACGAAATACGGAAAGGGTTTGTAATTTACAGTACACACATACACACACACGCGCGCGCGAACACACACGTGCGCGCACACACACATTTTCCCCCAACCATTGTAACATCAAATTTTAATTTGAAGTCGTTTTGTAAAAAGTGAGCTTTTTACGTGTTTGTGTGTGCGCGCGCAAACATATTTTATTGAACGAATTATCATTATGAAGATAAATAAGTCAGCCATTAGAAAATAGAATAATAATAATAATAAAATATTTGATAAAATATGTTGCAAGTTAATTTAACTATTATAGTTTAATTTGTGTATACATTTAGTGAATAACAATGGTATGCACATTGACAGTCCTAAGAAAACGGGAAATTCAGTAAGACCTGTTCGGCCTTACTGTTGGAGCTGTCCGTGGTTCGTCTAATTGCCAGAAGTTCATGGTAGTCACGTGGGAAGCTGTTCAAAACCACGTCCAGCTGTATATTGGTCCTGACAACTGAATCACGGCACATTTTGGCTGAGTCCCCTCGAAAATAGGTTACTGCAAGCGTTTCTATGTTGCATTTTGTGACATTATAATATGCTTACAAACTTCTGTGTTTTGAATGTATTCGTATTACAAATCGACAAGCGGATATTGTAAAATGGACATACAAGCTGTTAGATTACAGCAATTTTAATTGTAATTCACGGGAGACAGTCGTGTTGTGATGTGTGTGCCAGTGTCACTGATTCTATTCAGTAGTTCGGATTTTTTGAAACTGGCTGTTTATTATTTTTCTACTTTAAATGTAGAAATCTTACTTTTAGGGATAATACAAACAGGTAATTTAGAAGCCATATCTGGAGAATATCGACAGTTGTCAGGTGCAAACTATCTTGTGTTTGAAGAAAATTATTGCTTTCATATTGACTGTGCATAAATGGTGCAACCACACAGTGTATAAATTATGTCAAGATATTTCGGAGCTCTAGGTAAGTGGATGAAAATAATATTTAATTTACTAAACTAACCTCTCACAGCAAGTCACTCTTTGCCTCTTTACTAATTGTTGACTAACAGTATAATTATATGTTGTAGCAGTACACTAATAATATTAATTCTTAACCATTTGACTTATGCTTCGCGAACACTGGCTGTAAACTCTTGCGGAAACATCTGGTAGTTCATCCACTTCTTTTGCATATTTGCAGTTGTACGGTCTGTGTTAATTTTTGTAAACTGGCTTTTACTTTGCTTCCCGAACACTGGCTGTAAACTCTTGCGGAAACTTCTGGTAGTTCATCTACTTCTTTTGCATATTTGCAGTTGTACTGTCTGTGTTAATTTTTGTAAACTGGCTTTTGCTTTGCTTTGCGAACACTGGCTGTAAACTCTTGAAGAAACTTCTGGTTGTTCATCCACTTCCTATGCATATTTGTTACCAAAAAATTCGCAATGATAAGGAATTGATTTCATCCAACAAGATGAAACTGGACAAATTTGTTTGTGCTGTTTGTACCTTGAGGATACATATTTAGTAGTGCTATAAGTACTGTTAAGAAAACTACTCTCGGTGAAAAAAGTATTGCACATATCAAATTCATACTGATTGTGCTTGTTTACTAATTATTAAATAACAGTATAATTATGTGTTGTAGTAGTCTACTAATAATAATAATAACCATCAATCATTTATATTTATGTTATGTATGACATGTGTATGTTTATAGCAATATTTTTTTACGCTAAATTTGATAAATTACAAATGTCATCCCTCCCCTTTCCCCCCCCCCCCCCCCCCCACCCCCCCCCCCCCCACCCCCCCCCCCCCCCCCCCCCCCCCCCCCCCCGCTTCTCTGATGCAACAATACCTTCTCAGAATCAATGAGTTAGCACTGACATTTCTTTACTTTTGCTGGAACAACGTTTAGTTTACATCTAAACGTTACTGATGTTTATGTTCATGTTGACTGTAGCAAAAGCATTTTTATTTGTCTGTAAGAGCCTTTACTGTTATATTTAATTGGCACACTTATTTACCTTAAAAATGACGTATAGTTCTAAAAAAATATGTCGAAAATTAATGACACTGTAGTTTAATTTGTGTATACATCTCCTCGATAAAAACTGTGGACGCAGAGGGACTCAATTCTTGCACAAGAAAGGGAATTCCCGTTTGAGCTGTACGGCCTTATAAATCTAGAGCTGGCCGTGTTAAAAACACATGTAAGTGAATGAACTAAGTAACACTAAATACAAAAATTGAACCTAACTATCACCTTTTGCTCACATCATTATCTGGCTTTCGGAAATTGCTACGTGAATCGCATCATGGAAGAAAATAAAAGTCTCACGTCATAACATCCCCAAAGAAATTGGTGGATGCAGTACAGCCTACCTAATTGTCTCAAAAAATATAATTTCCATGCCAGACAGCAGCTGATGGAATTATACGTTTAATCAGATTTTTCCCAAGACAGGATGCTCAATTCCCTGTCCACAAGAGAACAATTCCATATTACTTTCCACTCTAACAGACAAAGCGCTGCACTTCTGATAATACGTTTTGAAGAAGGCATGGGTGCATGCATGTGTGTGAGTGTGTGTGTTTGTGTGTGTGTAGAATTAATTGTACACAACTGCCTGCTCACATTTATGTATGTGTGTGCGCGCGTGTATGTGGACGATTGTGCCATTTTCACGTCCACCAATTTATATTTATGATTGTGTATCCAGGATGGCTGGGTGAACAATTGGGAACCGAGAAGCTTTTTGTGATCTGATGGCTTTTATTTTTCATTTATCTCTCTCTTTAGTGGGTTATATTCTAAGGGGAGCTAAGTGTCGCAATGAGAAGGGGTGTAATATAACGAGAATGTAAATGAATTCAATGGACGTTTGTTGCATTGACAAAAAAGATTACTTCATTAATGAGTGAAGTGATGTCCAAAACTTTAGCAAGTAGACAAATTTGCTTTTGCATGCGTATGATAAAGTTTAGGAATACCCTAGATATTGTAGTAATACCATTACAAATCAGTAAGTTACAGCTTGTGTAGAGCAATAGGAAAAACGAATTTCGATTCACCAAACAAAACAAATTTAATATCGCTTATCAGTCTTTTGGCTAAGATCAAAGTTAAGCTCTGCTGCAATGGTCTGGCCAGATGGATTGGGATCGGTCACAAACAAAATCACATGTGAAACCTAATCGGCAAGAGTCATCTCAAAAAGAGAAACTCACTAGGGGTGTTTTTCAAGTTCAGTCAGGATTCTTCTTCTGCCTTTCTATTCCCCAATGGAGCATAGGCCGTCAACCAACTCACACCAAGTCGTTCTATCCTTCGCCATTACATAGAGCTCTCCACATGCCCTCCCCATCTTTCTAACTTCATTCTTCATCTCTATTCTCCATGTGTGTGTGTGTGTGTGTGTGTGTGTTTTTGTGTGGGCCTTTCTTTACTCCTATGCCCCTGTGGGCTCCAATGCAAAGACATTCTAGTTATGCTGTTCTCTTGTTTTCTCAGTGTGTGTCCTATCCAACGCCAGCGTCTTTTCATCGCCTTTTGGTCCACTGGTGCCTGTTTAGTTCTCTCCCAAAGCTCTACATTCGTTATTCCAACATACCATTTAATTCCCTCTATTCTGCGCAGGCGAGAGTTAATGAATGTCTGTAATTTATTAGTAATTGCCTTAGCTGTTTTCCGTGTTTCCGCCCCATACAAAAGTACTGATTTGACATAAGAATTAAAAATTTTTTGTTTAGTATTTCTTTTAAATTCTTTTGATCTCCACAAATTCCCTAGTGCTATGAAAGCCCCTCTTGCCTTTTGTATTCTTTTTTTAATATCTCTATCAGTTCCTCCATCTTTATCTTCATTACTGCCCAAATATGTGGTAGTTTAGAGAAAAGAATTTTATGTGCAGGAAGGGGACAAGCATCTCAGTGATACCTCGTTCTATTAACTCCAGTCACACGATGGCACAGCAAAAAAACAACAAAATAGTAAAACTTACTCTTACTGCCT